TTCATAATGAGGTATTAGTTCTTCAAATAATTCTTTTTTGTACAAATGAATGCTTGGCGTAAAGAGTTTATGTTGTACTTGGTCGTATGATAAATATTGGAATGGTCCTTGTTTATCAGGTTCCATATACTGAATTATCTTTTTTTCTTTATCTTCTAATTTATATAGCCATATTGGTATGATAACTCTTTTTGTTATTGTTACTTCTTTTTTCACCACTTGGTTATTATATAATGGTTGTATTCTACTCTTATTGTTGGAATAATAATTATGTGCTATTATTAGTTGCATTCGTGCATCATCTATTTTTAGATTAATTTCTTTCATTGCTTCCCTTTTAATACTTTGATAAAATAATTTATCTTTTTGTTCAAACTTTTCTCCAAAATATGACCATTGGTTCTGGTATATGTTATATCTGATTCTTTGTACTGCCAAGATTTTAGATATTATCTTGGTTTCTTGTTTTTCGGTTATATATGGAATTATTACTATATATCCTTGTGTTTCTTGTATTTCTATTTTTGGTTTTGATACAGGTAATATTGATACTTTCTCTAATTGTAAGATATTGTACTGTTGGTATGCCCAACTTTAATTAAATGTATTTGATTCATACTCAAGATATGGTCATTTAGTTATAAATATTCTAATCATATCATTAAGATTTTCATAGTTGTTGTTTATTTCGATATAGTTTGGGTATACTAGTTTAATATATTTTTGGTAAAGGTTGTATATTCCTTCGAGATATGTTACATTGACATTTCGTTTCTCTTTTCAGTCTCTTTTTAGTAGTCTTTGGATCATGATTTCTAGATCTGGATTACAGTATATTACTGTTGCATTACTTTGGTTTAGTATCTCTTTCAATTCTTGTCAGATTTGTTTAAGTATTTTCTTTTCTTGTAGATTCTTAATGTTCATTTCTTCAAAGATTATGGTATCCATAAATGTTCTATCCATTATAATAGAAGTTGATTTTTGGATTAGTCTTTTTGCTTGCATTAAGACTAGTTGATACCACATTTTTTAGAATTCTTGTAATATGCATATTTGTATTGTAAATATATATTTTGGTATATCATTGTATATTAGTTCTAGTAGCTTAGATATTTTTTGTAACAGTATTAATACTAATCCTAGTCTGTGATTATTAGTTGGACTAATTCTATTTATTAATGTTTTTAATGTTGCTTGAATGTCAAGCTTGATATTGTGAGTTTGTTGTTGCCTAAGTATATCTTCTGTGTTAAATAATTCTTTTTCATAGTATTCATCTGGTAGATATGGTGTATTCAATTGGTCAAGGTCCTATCGATAATTAAATCATCTTGGTAGTCTATCGTTGTTATTTTTTCAATCATTTTATATTTTGGTGTACAGTGTAAAAGGTAGTTCTTCTAAAAATACTGGTGGGTCAGTATTAAAGTATCTTTTGTTGTATCCATTCTGTGTATAATGCAATTCGTGTATTACATTTCTGTATGTTCTAAGGATTGCACTTGGTAACAGTTTTATGGATTCAATATAGTTAATTGCTTCTTGTATAGCACTTGCTTGTTTTATAAAGTCAATATTATGCTAATATATTCTGGGTATTCCTATATTTTCGAATTGTTGCTTAATTGCTGGGTCCAGATATTTTACTAATAGGTATTACAGTTGTTCTTTTACTTTCTCTTCAGTATATAATAATTTGTTTGATTCACTGAGCTTGTATTCACTTTTAAGATATATTCAGTATTGTAAATCTTTATTTGGATCCATTAATTAGTTTTATTTGTTTAAATATTTCTTCTAGATATTTCTTTAATTCTGGTGTGATTAGTAATCGTTTTACTTGCTCTTTAGTATAAAACTTCCATGTTGTGTGATTCTCAAGTTCAAGAGTTTGCAGATATTGTATGTTATTTTTGTAGATAAACATTTTTATTTTAATGTTCTTTTCTGAATTGTTAATTTACTGAGAGGTATTTCTATTTCTGTTTCTTCAAACATTTCTCATTTAGCTATTTGTTTAAATGATTCAAGGTAGGTAACTTGTTTTTCTTCTGGTGGTCTGTAATATTGGTAGTATACTTTCTTTGGATATATTTGTTGCGCTAATAATATTGCTGATTCTGAGTCAAATATTATTACTTGTGATATTTTTATTAATGATACTTGTTATCTAATTTGTCATCATATTTTAATTCTACTTCGCTATTATGTATAATTGGTACAGTTCCAGTAAAGTCATACAATGTATGCTTTAAAGCTACTATATAATAGTTTTGCACTTGGAAGGCTTTAAGTTTATTATCTTCATATCTTGTTAACCAATTTTTAATTCTGTTCTTTCATCTGATAAGATCAATAATATATCTGTATTTAAATAGGTTGTCAATATTTAATTCTTTATTTTTATTTTTTTTAATATTTTCTTTTTGATCTTCAATTAATATATTAATTACTTTTTTTTTTTTTTTTTTTTTTTTTTTTTTTTTTTTTTTTTTCTTTTTTTTTAACGTCTACCCTCTTGGGAGCTAGGATCTTTATTCAAGTATATATAGCAAA